CTCCAAACGTTTCATCACAAATAATAAAACATTTTTTAACTTAACTATATAGATTTTATAACAACATTCCTCTAAAGAAAGTCCTATAATTGACCTGGTTTATTGTAGATATTACAGTGTTGGTCTACACTTAACTATAATGCATTATGTGAACAAACCCTAATTAGACCAGGTTTAGCCCAAATTAAGCATTCCTCTGCATGCTGTAGACTAGAGGGTTAGCTCTAAATCTCAGGTGTGATAATTCTCATAGGCAAAGTACAGTCAAGATCTTGACAACGATTAAAACCAAAGTCTTTGGAGTTTGATGACATAGAAAAAAAATAATGTGTACATCCATAGAGCAATAAGTAGTGTATGGAACAGCACTTTCTTTGTCACTACCAACTTTTGAATCACATGATTAAAGCCAAGGAGAGCTGTGTGTGTACTGAGGAGTGAGTTGCTGTGAAATTGACTTTTTGTTATTAGTCGAATTTTGGGTAACAAACTGGAATCAGACAACATTTGAACAAGTTCCCCTGAGGATAGGACTGTCAGACTTAAACAGGCTTATGTTTGATTCTCCTTAACCTTAATTTGCTCAGCTTTCTTGAAGCCAGGATGAATCAGCATGAGCACTTATTAACTCTGCCATAAGATTATTTGTTTGGTAGTGTTGTGCGTGCATGAGTTTGTGTTCCACTCTCTGTCTGTCTATTTCTAATCTTGCATACACAGGACTCATCAGTTTGGCATTTTTTAATTACATTATGACTGTTTGCTTTAGGACTTCTCCTGTTGCAGAGATTGCCAGCTGTTCAGTTACGTTGGTACCATCTTTTTTACGCTTACAATTACAATATTTTTTATTTGAATAGTAGGCTACATTTGACACATTTTTGAAGAGAAATAAATATGTATATTAATCAGAGAAATACTTATCACTATCTTGTTGAAGAGAGGTTTACATTTTACCCCCACATATATTGGTACAATGTATGATGAATTGAAAGGAGTGTGAATGTTTTATGCTTTAGCAACATAATGTTTATCATAACAGGATGGATTAACTGCTATGTAGTGTCTCAGAACTCTATGCCTAAATTACATTGAACTCACTTTAGCCTGGCATGACAGTGTGTTTGGGTTTGGTTTTCTCAACGTAGCTACCAAAAGGTTAACCTGTTAAGGGTGATCAACAATAGCTCACAACTATACACAGTTATGTTCAAACTGATCAGATCAATTTAAGTTTACTATGCTCTATTTTAAATAACCTAACCCCGGACAGGTCATTCGAATGAAAGAGAAAACATAGGATACTGACTTTTTTCTTGCACTGTACACATAGTATCTACCCTTTAAGTTGAAAGAAAAACAAATAAAAACAAAAAACATCAATACCAAATATATAAAAATATCAAGACCTCTTTTAAACAATGAAAAGTCCCCTTTAAAATAAGGAGAGCTCAAATAATGACCTGAAAACTACAATATATACAACAAAATGAGCTAAGAAGAAGAAGAAGAAGAAGAAGAAGAAGAAGAAGAAGAAGAAGAAGAAGAAGAAGAAGAAGAAGAAGAAGAAGAAGAAGAAGAAGAAGAAGAAGAAGAAGAAGAAGAAGAAGAAGAACCTTTACTTATAGCCTACCTTAATATTAATCCACACAATTTAAACACTTTCATATTTCTTTGGCAACATTTAGATTTCCTTTTAACTAGGCTAATTATAGGCTCTGAACGCACATTGGGCTCCCATCATTAGGAGAGCAATATCACAGAAATGCACACATGAGTAACTCACAGTTTGGTTTCAGTCCTTGAGAAAAATTTGGTGTCCTAAAGAAGAACCAGCAGGCAGTGGAGATAAAGTACTCCAAAAAACACGTAGGCCTATGGCCATTTTTGGGTAGCAGTGGCGACTTTTGATCCAGCAATTAGACGTTAGCAGTTAGTCAACGTTAGCTTAGCAGTTAGCACAGACACACTCAATGATTTCACTCTAATCAACTGATATTTAACAAGAAGTGTGTGTCCTGGTCTACTGAAAACAGATGTCTTCTGTTTGGCTACATATTTACCAGGCTAAACTACCCTGGTGTTTTACATAATGGATGTACATCACAGCATGTGGGTCGTGTTATAGTCACAAAATTAATCTATTGATTCGTGTTCACCAACACAATTTCACAATTGTTTTCGTGTCACACAGAACGATTTTAAAAGCAATGTAAATAATAACAAATTAGAAGGAAAAAAGAGATTAAAAGAAAATACAGATTTCAGTATTCTGACACAGAACAATTTTAGAAGCAATGTATGTCTATTGGTAGTATGTTTCGTGCCTGCACCAAATAATAACAAATTAGAAGGAAAAAAGATGACAACAAATACAGATTTCAATAATCTGAGGCTCTTTTCCCCCATTTATACATGTACATTATACAATTTAAAATAAAAGGGATAAGGTTAGGCTTAGGGTAAGATATTGAGTAAGATTTTTTTTTTATAAACCATACAGCTTCTGGTCTTCCAAGACTCGACCGGACAAAAATACCTGATGCAGGCACGAAACATACTACCAATAGAAATACATTGCTTTTAAAATTGTTCTGTGTGAGACGAATTTTTTTTTGGTGAACACGAATCAATAGATACAATTAATTTCGTGACTATAACACGAAATGCCGTGAGACTGGGTTGTGTAGGCTTACTCCTGTTTTTTTCCCCTATTTCTTTGTGTTTTCTTTCACCCTCCCTCTTCCTGACCTACAACCAATTATCACAGGCACTAACTGATCCTGACAGGAACCAATCATCAAAATAGCTGAAACTAAATGCACAATTAGTGTATTTGTATAGTTCTCCCCACTGTTTGCCTTCCCATTTGTGTTCAATTGGTATCCAATTGTTACCTCGCCTACATTGTTTATGATTAAATTACCTTAATTAGTTTCAAAATGTTTTTTTCTTTAGTTAATCACATTAGGCCAAATCAGTTAACTTGCCTTGCCGGATTATTTTCCTGAAGTGTGTTTATTTGTTTTAATCCATTACATTACCCCACTACACATAATATATAGATGTTTGGAGAGTTGGACCATTAAAAGTAGACCTATGCAATTCTGGTATTCACTTTTAAAAAGTGAAGTATGGACAATTAAAAAATGTTAATCTTATTCTCATACAAAATGTTACACAACCAACACTCAAAGGAGGAGAAAACATGAAAGGTCTTTCTCTCTCGTTCTGTAGATCTGCCAATTGGATACCATTCCTTAGCCTCCAGACAGTGTGGATGTGGGACAGTGGGAGAGAAAAGAAAACAAGTTGGGAAGTAACAGACAGTGAGCGAAAGAAAGACAAAATGAAGAATGACCGGATAAAGGATTTGTGACTGAAACAGAGAACAAATCTACAAGAAAAACTTCAACACTGCTACACCCCCTTTCCCACTCTGAAGTATAACATCTCTCCACAGATGCTGGCCTGATTCCTAAAAGTCCTTTTTAACAATTGATCTACTTCTCCTGTAACAGATTAATATACTGTCCTTTGCACTCCCTGTGTCCGTTAAACTTGGTCTTGAAATGAATTTGCTCACCAAAGCTTTCATCCCTCCACCTCTCTTCTGTCTCTTTGGAGGGTTAAATGTTTGAGAGATTGCTAGCTGTGGCAGTGAAGCATACTGGCAATGGGAGGCAGAAACTGAGGGCTTGCATGATGGGTGGTGGGGGAGACAATTGATCTATGTTACTGTGATACAGCGGTTTGACAAAACAGCTCCCACTCACAGACGACAAAGCAGCCTCCACAAAGCATTTATGGAACCGGTGTCGCCATTCAAAAATATATCAAGCAGTTTTAATGTATGCATGACAAGAAAAGTGCCAACTCATGCTTAATGTATTATGATATTACTAGAATGATGGTGTATCTATAGATATGATTTGTGATTATAGAGTTTTTTTTTTGGGCTTTTCTTGTTACTAAAATCAGCATGATTTGGAAACAAATCTAGATATTAAGAAAAATAATATATTCTATATAACATACTGATATGGTATGCAATGAAATCAATATTTTCAGGCACATCAAAAAGAACAATCACCTATGTAAAAACAGATTGAACTGAAGGAAACTGTCACAACCATTTTAAAGACTCATATTGGTACACACAGGGCCGTCCCTGGCCAACATGAGGCCCCCGCCCCGCGCAAAGTTATATGATGAGGCCCTCTGTTTCGCGAGCGTCGACGAAGGGGGGGCCGCATAAGCGCATTTTCGCAAGATGAGGCCCCCTCCGCAAGGTGAGGCCCCACGCAGTCTGCATGATCGGCCTGTAGGGAGGGACGGCCCTGGGTACACATCCCTTTATTAAACTAATTAATGCCATAGCAGTCTGCTCCTCCATAGTGACATTAGTATGTGCCACTAGAACCTCACAAGCTAAATTAAATAGCTTAATTTGTATCTTTCATCTTGTTATGAATACAGTTTTGCATAATCCCATATGTAATCAAAGTTGTGTTTTTTTCAAACTACAAGTACAAATGTTAGAGCCTAAATTATTAGAAAATATAGTGGGCTGAAAAAAGAATAAATAAAAACGAAATCCTCAATGAACTTTTCTTGATACACAAGACATTTAAGACAGTTGTCCAAAAGGTTAATTCGTTGTGGAGAATCAACATGAAATGTTTATTTTTTTGCAATAATTCAAACTAAAATATAATCACTATTATTGCAATAAGGCGTATAGCATAAAGTGCAATACTCTTATTTCATATATTATATTGCAGCAGATTTAGTTTCAGTTTCTTTCATCAAAAACGGAAGAAATGGGAAGATGTCCTTTGTATTGCACTGGGGAATTGTATCTATTCTCTGTGAACTCCTTCCTAAAAGAAATGGGATTGGCTCTTTACTGTTGTGATTGTGCAAGAAGAGGAGGTGACAAATTCCCCAAACCAGGTTATATACCCTATTGATATCAGTGTGTCACATGAGTAATTCACTTCTCTAAGCAAAACTCCCTCAGTAGAGTACAGGGCAGATCATATGGAGACCAACAGCAGAGAAGCACTTCAAGAAGACTACGATGCATTTGATATCTCTGATGAGCTTGGATTTATCCTAGAAGAGCCACTGGTATGTTCAGTTGTTCTCTTATTTCTTCTCACAAAGGAGATCTGAAACAAGGTTGCAATATGTTATGAAAAAACAAAACTAGACTGGATATTCTGTATTTGCTTACCACTGAGGACTATTTCCTCTTATCCATCTATTGCCTTTGTTAAAGTATTTTGTGTACAGCACAACTATTCCCTCTGTTCTGGGACTCATAATAATGTTTGTTAAGGAAGATTATAAGGGATAATTGATCTGGAGAAGGTCTGTCTCTTCTTAAGCCAACCATATGACCAATATTTGTTTTACCAATATAATGGCTAATTTGGATATACTTGCTTAACTCACTTCTTCTTATCTAAGGATATACCAGGAATTAGTATATAATTAGTATTAGTATTAGTATATAATCAAAAGATCAGTCGATAGTCTAGAGAATTGTAAACGTTGCAAGACATATATATATATATCAGTCAGTATGGATGTTAATTCTGTGTACTGGCGAAGCCACACACAGAATAGTATTCCACTAACATACTTATTAGTGTGAATGTTGTTCAACAGTATTCCACTAATAATAATAATAATAATAATAATAATAATACATGTGACTTGTATAGCGCTTTTCTAGAAACTCAAAGAAGCTTTGACAGAGAATAAAAAAACAAAATAAAAAAACAACAAAAAATACAAAAAGAGATAAACAAAACAGAAAATAGGGGGGGGGGGGGTGTCAGTGGTTGAATGCAGTGTTGAACAGGTGGGTTTTGAGTGATGTTTTAAATGCTGTGAGGGAGGAAGAATCTCTGATGGATTGGGGTAATGAGTTCCAGAGGGTGGGTGCAGCAACGGAGAAGGCTCTGCCGCCCCATGACTTGAGGTTGGTCCGGGTGGGGAGGGACAGGAGGTTGGCAGTAGCACAGCGGAGGGAGCGAGTGGGAGTGTGTCTGTGGAGGAGGTCAGTCAGGTAGGATGGGGCCAGGTTATGGAAGGCTTTGTATGTCATTAGGAGGATTTTGTTCTGAATTCTCTGGGGGATGGGGAGCCAGTGGAGCTTGATGAGGACGGGGGTGATGTGGTCACGGATTCGGGTGTGGGTGAGTAGACGGGCGGCGGAGTTCTGGCTGTATTGAAATGTATGTATGTATGTATGTATCTATTGTTCTTCTTTTCTTTAATCTTCATCATACATATTGCTGTTTATACATTTGGTTTACTTTTCTTTGAAATATTAAGCTTCATCACTATTTTACCTACTCTTCCAGTTTAACATTTCACTTTCAAGTTTTTAACAAAGTCATTGCAATGCATTTGAGCTGCAACAATTTGTATTCAAATCATTTAACTTTTATGCATTTTTCCACTAAGTTCACCAACAGACTTATTTGGTTTCTGTAGCTAAAAGCAGCTATTAGGCCATTCCCTGTTTTCTGCTTGGTTTTTGTTTTTTTCAGTTTTCTACTGGCTCCCCTGTTTAAATTGCTTTCTCTGTCTGATTGAAAGCACCAGGCATTCCCTGACATGCAGTTCAGAAATAGAGAGAGTGAAGAGCTGATGATGTTACTGATTACACTCTACATGAAAATCCCCATTGCAAAGAAACATTTTAAAACATCAAAAGTCATTTTATTGTTATTATCCTTCAGAATCACCTTCCAGATCACTATCAGGTGTGGTTGGACCTGGCAAATAATCTCACACATCTGATAAAGTCACGTAAACTACGGGATCTGGTTCACAAGGTGAGAATGGGCAAAGCCTTTTTAATGCAAATCCGTAATAAAACCATTCATGTAAATGTGAAACCTACAGTTTCATTTGTGAACTCTCTTCACTATGAATGAAAACGGAAGTAAAGAAACAGACAATGTGATCACAATCCAGATGCCGGTGTTGAGTCCCAATCTCCTGAGCAACCATCGAGAGCTCAGGCTGGCTCACCTGGCGCTGGGATTTATCAGCATGGGATATGTATGGCAGGAAGGACAACAATCACCTGCTCAGGTAAAACACTAAATTGCAAAGGAATCAGGGATGGTTCAGAAAAGATGCGCTAAATCCTGACATCAACATGCTAACAAGCTAATGTTAGGATAGTAGAATGTTGTGCCCACCATCTACATTTAGCTTGTTTGTATGTTATCAATGGTTCATTTCATTTCAAACCTTTATTTAATTAGTTAATCAGTACTGAACCAAAAGTGTGGCTAATGGGAATGCCATTCGTTTTGCAGGTATTTGGTTTTAAGGCAAATTCATTTTAACAATTTTGATGGGGCTATATGTCAGGTTAATCATCTTATTAGAAAACATCATCCCTAATCAGGAGTTTCTGTTCTAAATATTGGTCTAATCCATTGAGTAGTTGCCAAGAGTACAAGTTCAAGCTTTTACCAAGAAGTAGCATTAAAGGAAATGTCAGGGGACTCTTCAAAGTCACTAGGATTCATCCACTTGGCACCAAAGTATCATGGCATCCATCCTTTAGTTAAGATGTTTCAGCCTGGTTCAAAGTGGTTTACTGACCAACAGCCATTGCCTTGGCTATCTAAATACCCTTGGCATGGCTCAAAACCTTTACAATCTCACTAAAACATCACCAGATTGGGACTTTACTATTATTCTTGTTTGACAGATTCTTCCTAAAGCCCTGGCTTTGCCTTATTGGCTGGTATCTGATAGGCTCGGCCTTCCTGCCATCCTGACTTATGCAGATTCAGTTTTATGCAACTGGAAATTAAGGGATCCCACAGGGTGAGTATTGCTGTTTTATTGCCCTATTTAATGACTTGACTTCATGTCGCTATTCCACAGACACCATTTTATTATAATAGTAACATTACAATAAAACTGTACATATCTCATTTTCAATCACTCAAAGAGAAAAATAGCGAGGGATTTCTCTAACCACTGGATGCGCTTCTCTTTTCGTTTTAGGGATATGGAAATTGGGTGAGTAGAAGGAAAACAGAAGTCACTATCACATTGTTTCAAATTGCTGAAGTACAATTTGACCATGATTTTGGTGGTTTGGTACTTGTGATGTTCACATCATAATATTTTCTAAACATCCTTTTCAAAAACAGGAACTTGGATTTGATATTTTCCTTTCCTGGTGGGGAGAGTTGCAGGGGATTTTTTATTGTATCTTTGTTGGTCGAGATGGCTGCGAGTTCAGGCATTACGGTTAGTTCTGACTGCTGTAAAACTTTTTTATGTTAACTCTTTCAGAACCTCGGCCCAATGACATCTGTCCATGAGTAATGTCCCTTGTTTTTTAAGATACCATCTAATTCCTGTGTGTTTTTCACTTGTAGCTAATTGTTTTTAAAAACTCTAACCAGGGAGCTCTGGAGGTGATGCACGCCATGAAAATCTGTGACCTCAGCAGCCTACAGAGAGGTCTCGTGAAAGTGACTCAGTCTTTGAAGAAGATGAAGGAAACTTTCAAACTTATGCACAGTAAGTTTGAATTAACAGAGCAATCTCAATTGAACCAATTAACATGCTGTGTCTGTGATGAAGGTAGAGAAATTCAAGGTTATTACAATAAATGGAATTGTGCTCTTTTCAGATCATGTGGATCCAACTGCGTTTCATGGAACATTGAGAATTTTTGTCTCAGGGTGAGTTTAAGGTCCGTGACAATATGCTGCATGCTGAAGTTATTCATGTTCTTAACATTTATTTCATCTGGTGCTGATAAAATGATGAAATTCCCTTCTGCTTCTACCTTCCTTTTGTACTTTTCTCTATTGCTGCACTATACGTTTAACTGAATAAGGTGAAATGGTATTGTGTTCTTCTTATTTGCACAAAAAAGGATGTTTATGCATGTGGTTTGACCTGTTTAAGGTGGCGAGACAACCCCATGCTTCCAAGGGGGCTGTTGTATGAAGGTGTGAGCAATGAGCCAATTTTGTTATCAGGCGGAAGTGCAGCCCAGAGTTCAGCCCTTCAGTGCTATGATGCGTTGCTCTGCATCCAGCATGACGATGAGACAGGTAAAGATGCATTTCCCTCAACCTTTGACCCATCTGATGCTTCTCATGAATAAATCACGCTGTTTGTGCAGTCAGTTGATTGCTCCGACAGAAAGTGTTTCCAGGAAAGGTTCAAAGTCTCTTTTTCTGTCCTCATCATTGATTCGGTCTATCTAGGAGCCTTCCTGACACGCATGAGGGAGTACATGCCTCCCGCCCACCGTCGGCTGATTGAGACTCTGTCTGTCTGTCCATCTCTGCGAGACTTCATCCTGTCCCACCCCAGCTCCGATCTCTGCCAGGCATTCAACTCCTGTATCTCAGCGCTAGTAGATTTAAGGAACTACCACCTCAAGACTGTGGCCAAGTACGTTATTTTGCCCGGTTCTCAGGCCATGGGCTGCCCGCTGAGAGGTGTTGGCACCGCGCTGAACACCACAGGGACTGGTGGATCCAGCTTCATGGTCTTCCTCAAGAGCACTCGCAATGCCACTCAAAAAGCATTGATCCAAGAGAGGCCATCTGCGTCAAGAGAAACCGAAATATGATTTACATTACAGTATTAATTATAATATGCACATTATCCAACACCTTTTTATACACTACGCTCTTGCTGTTCTATTTATAAATGGAATAAAAGTACATGCTGTTTTTTTTACCTCCAGTGGTTTATCTTTGCGATGTGGATGTGTACTCCAGGGTGTCAGTGCACTGTGACATCACTATTGGGTGTGGCCTAAACAGACTCCATATTTGCCATATTTCATAGGCCACTTCTGCCATGCAGAACATCATGAAATAAAAATATGGAAAACCAAAATGATGCTTAATCACAATTGACAGAATGTAGATTTGTTTTATCCCAAACTACAGCTTCTTATGTATTCTTGGCTTCCATATATTATAGTCCTCGATATTAATGAATAAACTTCACTGTACTTGACACAATATTTCATATGATCATGTAATATCCTTGTTAAAACTTTTACAGACAGTGCTACAAAGTGGAACTACATCTAGGGATGGATTTAATTTATTCTTTTTATCTGTTTTTGTTAAATAATGTATAATTTTCAGTACCTCAAATCTGTACACCCTTGAATCTTCATACTATTTTTCAGAGAAATGATTTGAATGTTGAAATAATGTAATAAGAAAATAATCCCACATGCTTGAGATTAAGAGGCAGATGGCAGAGGAAGGAGAGAAATGTAGAGAGAACAAAAGGCTGTGGTAACAAAATAGAGGAAGAAAGTGCTGTAGGAATGATGGAGGACACTGGTAAAATAAAAGCTAAAGAGAATCAGCTGAGGAGAATGAAAGAGACAGACACTGTACGGTGGATCAGGGGGTGAGAGGGATGGATGTGGGATCAGGTCACTCAGATTGATGGCCTGGAACCCGTCTCGCTTCCTGGTCTTGACTCTTCTTGCGATTGAGCACTAATCACATTAGAAGGGAGAAGAAGGAGCTCAACCACAATACAGCTGCTGAGCCCTGGTCATGGTCCAACTCTGCCTCACTATAGCACAAAAGATGTCAAATGTGGACTGCGGACAGCGGCTGAATGCAGCTCTGGCTGTAACTACACCTATTCCTGGTGTAGTTGTCTGCAGTCACAAAGAGTTGCTGGCTCCGGTCTTTTTCTCATTTTGAATTCACATTTCAAATTTGACCCTCAATGATACTGTTGATGTAAAGTGATATAATACGTTTACAAGATGGGTAGTGCTTTGGCTAATGGTTTGAATTAATTAAACTGTGATTCTGGCATATCATATGTTGTCACATCACATAATTTTGGCATGCGGACAGCTCTCCAGTAAATACTACGATACCCATGAGCCTCAGCTTCTGTTACTATGGAGAAGAATCCAAGAGGTACAAATCAGCACGTTGAAGAATTCAAAATGCCCTTTGATCATACTGTAGTTCTTAACAAAGGGCAGCGCTATAGTCTCGAAACCAAACCAACATGAAAACAAACACTAAAATTGGTCAGGCGTCAATGGCAGATTGCAAGACTTTTTTTTTTTCATTTATTGCACATCAAATTATTTTAAACTGAAGTGATGAATGTTTTGAGTCCTAGCTACCTTTTCTCCTGATCCTCCATACAAGCTTGTATTATTTTAATTTTTTTAACACTGCTGTTAATCTTTTTGTACTGATGAGTCAAGGAGGAGAGTTCATGCCAATATAACTGTAGAAGTGCTACAAATGTGAGTCACGTAACATTGATTATGAAAAAATGAATGAAAAGGACTTGATCTCCCAAAATAGCTCCTCACTTAGTAACTCTATTGCCTTTAGCTGTCATAGACATAGGAGCACACTGATGCACTTTCAGTTGAAAATGTTTTAATCGAGATGTAGAAACAGTAGAAAAATGCATATTATTTCACATAATAACTAAATTGCACTTTCTCAAGGTACAGATCTTTGCATGGAAATTGGTGACCTGAATGCTGCAATCTACTGCGTGTTCTAACGATGGGAGGCCAGTATGAGTCTTCCTGACATTTCTCCGACATTAAACAGTACCATAATCTACATAAGAGCTGCTGTTATAAAATCACTTTAAGACTTCAGTAAATACCTGCTTTGTTCGGTACCATTGCTACATCATCAGTGTTTTTTTTTTTACTTTACCAAAGCTGGTGGCTACAAGTCTTTTCTGCTGTAAGATTGCTACCATACTCCATTAGCACTGTATAGCCCTTCTACTCTTGCAAGTTCAGTGAGCAGTTGTTTGTGTGGGTTGTTAAACAGATGTTTGGTGTTTTGTAATGGTGTTCTGCAAATTGAAAAAGAAAAGAAACGTTCTATTTCACAAGATGGAATGGCAAGATAAATTATTTTTACAAAACACACTTCAAGTGTAAGCCAACTGGGCATGAAGCAAATTGCTCAGAAGTAGATTCGGTTCAAGACGTCACATCAGAGCTTTACTGTGACCCAATGAATGACTGATAGGCAAGGCAAACTCTTAGCAGACTTATATAGATATGTCAAAATAGCCTTTACTTTTTGTTTGAAATTCAAGAATAAACTCCAAAAAACCCAGACACTTTCTCAGATATAATAGAAAATATTCTGCCTTGGAATTAGTCAAAACATTATATATGTTGGTAAAAATGTGACCTAACTCAAGATATTTTTTTCAACAATTCGACCTGCTTCAAGAGCAGGTGCTCATACATTTGAAAATGTCACAATACTTTGCTAAAAACAAGCAGATATTCTAAAATAGATTCTGATCATTATGTGTCAGTGTAGCCAGCAGAAAAGGACGGGATGACTGAGGCAAAGTTGGCTGGCTAGTTGTTTAGTTGCACAGTGAGCTAAATGGAGAGAAAGATAGAAAGGCAGAGAAAGATAAAGGGACATAGATTGAAAGAGAGGGAGGAAACAGGGGTTATTAACAAATGCAGGCAGACATTCAGTTGGACAGACAAACTGAGCAAGAGAAAAGGAGGAAGAGGAGAGAAGAGACAGGGTAATAAGAACAGCGCTGACACACTGCCATGTACTGAACGGTATTTCAGTCTTTGACGCATTTTCTTCTCAATAGTCAAATGTTTGTGCTTTGCCGTAGGTGGGGCTGATGTCCATTCAAAAGGTTATAGCTTCACTTAAAAAAGGCCCTCCACATGGCGCCTCCTCTTGTGGCCAAGCAATATGCTCTAAAGGAATAAGATCAAAAGTGCATTGCATTGGAGAAGGCAATAAAAAGACGCGCATATAAAGTGAGAGGTGCAGTATTGAAATAACATCCAACTTTACACAGCTAAGAAACATATGTATCCCAAAGCTCACCTAGTTTTTTGCAGGTGTGTGTCCATCTTCTTCAGCGAACAAGCCAAGAAAAGGTTTGGCAGACCTTAAATTGTTATTTGTCTCTGCTGTCCCCTAGCTGACATAATGTGCAGTCTCAACTTAGATCCCCAAATGAACTGGTTTCTGTCCTTATGCATCCTCATGTGTTGATTATTCCCTCTGAATATTCCCTCATCCCTTTAGAGAACAACAGGGGTATTAATGTGCCCAACAAAAAGGCTGTTTCCAAAGCCTTCATGTATTATTCAAAGGAACCAAAGTTTCCAACGAGAATGCTTTTTGGACTCTGTCTTGGACTTGCGCTTGGGGGTGGATGTGAACACTTCATTGGAGTAAGGCAGAGCGGGGCATTGTTGGCTATCCAGAGGGTAAAGTCTCTTAATCAGGGGCTGTATTTTATCCTCCTGCAGCTTAAAGTCCAGCTCCACACTGTAACACAAGCAAAACAGGGAGAATTTTAGTACATATATGTACATTATTCAGTTTAAAATTGAACTTTAAATGTGAGGATTTCATGGTATATATCTTGATTGCCAGTAAAAAGTTGTCAAAGTAGACGATTTATCTTTTTTAGTAGTGTTAACATTCATGAGTCAATTATTTTAATACTGGTAATCCACTGATGTCCAGATGAAGGCTGGGAGGGAGGCAAACAGTTCAAATGCACTGACAGAAACCCTGGCAGCACACATGTCTTGCGGCACAGATCTACATTTCACAGACTCCTCCGAGTAATAGAGTTCCTTTGCATCCTCCTGACATCTTTCATGCATGCAGTCAAAGGGCTTTTCCTGCACAGATTATACTTGCATAAAAAAAAAGCCAAAAAATGGGTTGCTCTTGACATCAGACGTTCACATCCGCAAGTGTAATCCCAGGCTGGTCATTGTATGATTTTGTTACGCCACCTTAGTTGAACTCTCTCCCCGATTAAATCTCTCAGGCCTGGGAGAAATGTGAGGCTTAATCCTTTCCAAATGAAACCATTGAGAGGCCAAGCAGATCCTGATTAACTGCCTTTATTCAAGCTAGGGATAAATGCATTATTATACACCATCTCCTTTCACTTTATTACTATTGATTTGTTGATTTGATTCCTGGGGTATGCAATAAATATTTGAGAGCATCCGAATGGTACTAAAAGAGAATGAATTATCTGCTTTGTGCATGCAACAGTGACACTCAACCTCACCTCAAAAATCAAATGTTGCTTTTTGGCATTTTTATTCATCCTTTTTTAATATTAACCATTACTCAGGGCACTGCTTTTAAGAAGCACAGTGAATACTACTGCTTACAGCTTATTCTTGTCATTCAAAGTCTGGAGGATTAAAGGTGGAAGGGAGAACTGAAGCTGCCGAAAGAGATGACATCTGACATGTCAAGGTCAAGCATGAAGTCCTCTTCTTGTCTGCAGGCACACAAGTACACGTTAAAGTACTAAGCTTTGTATGATAGGGTGAGGGCTTTGATGGGCAGTGTAATTAGTTAGCTCAAGTATATTATGTATTCAAAGTGACAAAATGAATCCTGGGAACTGTCCTCACCCTTAAGATAAGTGTCGGTTAACAAGAGAGCTCCAATAAAGCCTTCAGTGGAGAAACTCGATGGAGCACTGCATAGATGTTTGGAAGGCTTTGACTTTTAATGAATCAAACTCTGGATCAAATGTACAAGAGCCTGCATGGGTTTGTGAATTTATATTACAAATATGTTTTGTAACTGCATCCTTTCTTTTTCTTATGTAGGGTTTCCTTATCATACTTCGATTCAAATCCAACACTTGAATCCTTGACAATGAGAAGGTCTTCGTCCTGACAACATTTCTGTTTCTTGCAGTATGTGATGCAATCGTTTTACAACTTTAACTTATACATATTATTGTATATTATTGCTAGTTCAGAATGCAGCTGCACGTCTTCTCACTGGCCATAAAAAGCGTGACCACATCACCCCAATTCTGGCTTCATTGCACTGGCTTCCAGTTCAGTTCAGAATAGATTTTAAACTCCTTTTATTTGTTTTTAAAGCCCTAAATGGGCTGGCTCCTGCCTATATAGCCGAACTCCTCCATCGCTACACCCCAGGCAGAGCCTTAAGGTCGGCTGATCAGCTGCTGTTGATAGTGCCTAAGACCAGGCTTAAAACCCGAGGGTATCGAGCTTTCGCAGCGGCTGGCCCTAGGCTCTGGAATACTTTGCCCCTCCATGTGAGGTCGGCCCAGACCCTGGGATTTTTAAATCAACACTTAAAACTCACTTTTTCTCTCTCTCTATTTAGTTATTTATTCATTTATTTAGTTATTTATTCATTTAGTTCTTTATTTTAATATTTATAACATAACATAGGATTTCATAAAGTATTTTTAAAATAGTTTATACATTATTCGAATATAGGAATAGTAGATATGATTACTTACAATATAGTACCTTATATTTCATATTTTTTCCCTTTAGACCCTTGTGGTTTATTCTTAAAAACCCTTACACACCCCCCATTTTCCCTCTGCTGGTCTATGGCCTTGTAGAGGGTAACGGGGTACAGAGTCGCTTAGATAAGCGGGGGAGTGCATCTGACGAAGAGATAGGTTGTTGTGCTCCCTATCTCTGTTTCTTATCCTATATCTAATAGAACTGCTCGGGTCTTGATAGATTGAGTGGGGAAGTTCATGAGATCTTTCTAGAGGGTTATTGTATCCAATGACCTTTTCCCTCTCTGTCTGTGTCTGTGTATTCTCTTGTTCCGATTAACCCAGCCAAATCTTTTTTCTTGTTTTGTATCTATATCTACGCCGGGATCCGGAGTCGAGGCTGATCCTCTTGCTGTGGTCCTGTGTCCTGGATCCTCTATCCTGAGTTCTGGATTAAGTCGTGGACTTCGGGTCGTGGCTGAACCTGTCTCTGCGGTCCTGCCTTGGGTCTCGTCATGTTGCTTCCCTGATGGCTTCCACAGGATTGTAGCTGACATCCTCGTGGATTCATCTTCTTATTACAGACACATGCATTTCCTAACATTCGGTCTATATGCTGTAAAATGTATTATCTCTTCGATTTACACACGGCATCTATTGCACGTCTGTCCGTCCTGGGAGAGGGATCCCTCCTCTGTTGCTCTCCCTGAGGTTTCTCCCATTGTTCCCCCTTAAACTGTGGGTTTTCTCCGGAAGTTTTTCCTTGTACGATGTGAGGGTCTAAGGATAGAGGGTGTCGTTTTTCTCATACTGATATTCTGAACAATCTGTGCTGTTGTATTTGCTGTAAAGTGTCTCTACTGTAGGCTATTTTTATTCTATGTACAGCACTTTGGCTCGACCAAAAATCGTTTATAAATGTGCTATATAAATAAAACTTGATTTGATTTGATTATCCATTGGTTAATTTAAAATTGTCTATTTCCACCTGGGTGAAAATAACTACACCACAAATATCATTGTTGACTATAGTCACCCGGGTGTAAATAGCATTTTTGACTATATCACCAGGGTGTAAATAGCATTGTTGACTATAGTTACCCGGGTGTAAATAGCATTGTTGACTATAATCACCCGGGTGTAAATAGCATTGTTGACTATAGTCACTCGGGTGCATTACATGTCACTTGTTAGACGCTTTTATCCAAAGCAACTTACATACATTCAATACTGTGTGCAGTCCCCACAGAATAAGAGTATCTTGCCCAAGGACACAACGATATGCTGACTGCAGTTAGACTCAAACTTGCTCTCCTCGATCCGAAGACCAGCGCATGATCCCACTGAGCCACACCACAAATAGCATTGTTCACTAAACTCCCCCGGGTGCAAACAGCATCTGTCATTTAATTTCCTCCAGCTTCATCTCCATTTGTATCTTTTGTTGAAAAATGTGTCTTTGCAACTGCTGTTTAAAGAATGTTGACTTGACAGAAAGCAGACCAGGATCACAGTGTGAATACCCTCAGCAATTATTAAGCAATAAATCACTTGGCATATCACTGCAATTACTATACGTCGTGGACAAATGCCTCGGTGGGAAGCCGGAGGCAGCACTGTTAGATGTGGGTGGCTCTGGGGAGCAGGTGCTGCAGCAAACAAAAGCCCTATATCTAAGATCATCTCTCTACACAAACAGATTGAAGCGGCTGGAGACGGGGGGATTTTCTTTGGCCTTTAGCAAAGCAGATGAATCATCTCTTTAGCTATGCATTGTGAGTAGCTGTTGTTGATCAGTGGCGAGCCGTTTGTTTGTCTGTGGTCGTGGTGTGCTGAGCACCGTTCAATGGTTGTAGTTCCTGGGAGGGATTGTGCTGCTGTGATGAGTCTTTTTAGCACAGCATACTCTATTCATTCGGCAGTATATACCTGCACAGCCTCTGTTCTCTCTCCGCTGCTGCCAACCTTTCAGCGTAAAGTCATTTCCCATCTCTTGATTTCCCCTTTGGCCACTCAAAGTTCAAACCCTTCACTTGACAAGATGAGTGGTTCAGACCCAGTATAGTGTAACATCCTCAGAGCTACATGACAGGGCATAGTAAATTGAATCACTGGAGACTGACAGTTATTTCCTCCAGACAGACAGGCAACAGTTGAAGCAGATACCTCCCACAGGTTATGGAAATCAGATGCTGGGATTCTTCAGCAGTCATGTTTCTCTCTTTTCAGCCATTGCTGTTGTCTATTACATAGCATTCTGCTTCACAGAGGCTCAAAGAAAAACACGATCTCATTAATGAGAACAAAACAGAATAGGCAATCTTGACAATTGTTCACCAAAACAACCACGGCTCCTCCATCGCAGCGTGGGATACAAGTGCTAATTAGCTCATCATATTGCTTTGCAGTTGCCTTTCCCTGAACTTAACTCTTCTTCAAAGTCATTGTTACTTCCAAATTGGAAACAACTACAGAGTGTACTTTGATTCCAGTGCTGGTTCTTATTCAACGCAGCATGATAGGGATAAAATGCTTTAACGCTTTGATCGGATTTTGTTTGTAACACTGGGTTTGTATTCTATGTTGACTCAGTGGTGGGACACATATAATTGGCAACGGATGCTCTTAGAAATCTTGTTTGATATACAGAAGTAGATAACAAGGGACTATAAAGAGCAGTTTCCATCTTGTTTTTGTTCATTAAGTATACTACAACCCCTATATTGTTTTTAAAAACCTTCCTCTAGCAATATTGGTGTATCAGTGCATCAGATTTGATCACAATGGGGTCCAACCAATTATCATTTATTTACATTTTCCAAGTAAGAAGTTAACTTTTTATTGTTTTAATACATTCAATGATAAAATGCTAAATATTATAACTTCCTTACTTAGATGGTAAAAACAATACTAATCATCAAAATAAACAAATGAATGTCAACGGAAAAAAACAAATGGAAAAATATAGATGAAAAAAAAACCGAATTCAACATTTGAAAAGATTGTATGTGGAGGATCATAATTCTCTAATATTTAAGACACACCAAATTAGAATGAATTTTGAGCAGATGGCAAAACCCAGTCGTTCATTTTGTTCATTAAAAGCTAGAAGCATCTGAAAATGGTATCAATCTTAATAAAGATCCACTAATCTTACTACTTGGAAGAAAAAGCCAGTGGGGATCAAGAAGAAGATGTTAACTTATTTCTAGTAATATGGGTAGCAAAAATGTAGCAAATTACAAGCTATTGGTTAAAAGAAAACTGTTATGTTGAAATTGAAGGACTTGTGAAAAATATATTTGAATAAAATCCCATAAAAAGAAGAAAACAAGTTAATGTAGTTAAAGACAGATGGGGAATTCACAACATAACATTCACAACATTCTACTCTAAGAAGATTGTGTTATGTGCTCTGTGAGTAAAGTATACCATACTATTATTTTTAAATGTATTACAAAAAAAACCAAATGTGACAAACAAGCGTTTTGAATTTGCTACCACTTTTTTTATATCCCTAGCTTGCCTATTTCCCATTGCACTGGCAGCTGAGGCTCATGGGTAATAGTATTGAGTCCAGTTCGCCATCCCAAAATATGGACAAAACATGCATTATTTTGTTGTTAAATGGGTGAAAGGACCCTTTTTGACATACCTTTTCTCCTGATGTGATAGACAGTAGAACTATAATTATTTCCTTAAATGATCATCCATACAGTCTTTCCATTCCTCCATTTTATTCGCCATATGTATGCCCTATTTGTTGCAGTGATGTATGAGATGCTGCAGTATATCGAGGGTGGGTGGAGACTGTCGGGGGGGAGCTGAAGTATGGATGAGACCTGCCGATACCTGAGCTTAGCAAATGCTCAAGTCCTGAATTTATCGAACACACTGGAGGTTGTGGACTGCTCTAGAATGAAGGGCTGCATCTCAGGGGAGTCAACCTCAGTTAGAGTTGCACCATGCAGTTCCAGTCTAACCATTTGAGGCACTGACTTTTCCAAGCCCTATTTCAATTTTCCTAATGTGATTTCTGCTGGCCGTTCAGCAGGTTAATTCACTGTGATAATAGACTATTATAATAACAGGGATGCTGGTAATGAGGGGAGGAAGTAGCAAATGAGATTAAAAAGGCACATCTGACATCAAGAGCTGAGATAAACAATAAATAAATGCTTTTATTTTTCCTGTGTACAAACATAATTCAATCTTGGAAGGTTTGTGCAGCTGAAGAATAATAAACAGCACTATTTAAGAATTTAAGATATTTATGACAACTGCCTTGGCAAAGACACAGAGCACCATGATGGAGCACTACTACACGACTTAATATCTAATCGGGTGATCGGAAATAAACAGCGTTTAATGATACAGACCGCAGATGAAATAATAATCTTCCACTTTATTACTACTCCGCAGAGTGTGCCTTCAATGTGATTGTATTACCGTACATGCTTTGGTTTAGTGTCAACAGACTTTGCCATCAGAAATTGTTGGTAGTTTGTTCTGCCTCACCGACATAGGATAGGAGCAGTCAGGGGAAAAAAGAGAAACTCAGCCGTAGGCTTTAGGAGTTTTTTTTGCTCCTCTACGTAGGGGTATTATTGTTTTAGTCCTACACATTATGAGGCTATTAAATCTATTGAGTTTTCTTCTTAGTTAGAGGAATCCTAAATGCATTCTCTCGCCACAAACAATATTAACCACAATAAGTCCAGTCAAATCATATCCTATGACATTTATCGAAATAGTTATACATATTCTTACATAGCCAGTCTGCCTTAACCCCAAGATTGAAACCCTCACTTACTTACAGTAATGATATTAAACCGATACAAATAGGGAATACAAATAGAAACAAACAGACTCACTGCAGTAATGTTAGAGGTTGGCTGTAATACAGGAGTACTGCGCATACAATTAAACAAAAAAAAAGGAAGCCAATCAACACAGGATAAGAAAAAATGAATCTGCTTTGTCACATCTGTGACATGTGCATGAATCATGAAAATATGAGGATCTATAAATTACAAAGGTTAAAATCATCTGCTGTCAGAGTAATCATACCATTTGTTTGGCATGAATGAGACATTTCTTTTTATAACACTAAGCATGGCCTTATTTACTTCAACATCTTGAGAAGTGGTATGAACAGCTGGGTGAAGGAGTAGGTTGAAGGTGAACAGCTTTATCCTATTTAAGTGAACTCCATCTGTCTCCAAAACATAATTTAGTCCCACATGTCTTTAAAGATAGGTAAGCAGACAAGACTTGAAGGATTTTTTTGTGAGGTCAGACACTAGGTCCTCAGGAGAGTAGCTATTCTTCCTCCCGACACCTGCCAGTGTCTCTTATAGCAAATCAGATTCAGATCCAATAATATCTTGTTTTGCCCAGAAGTGTCGAGTTTCTCTTATTTCTTCACATTGGACTGATTCAGGTTTAAATCTGTGCTCTCAGTTCGCTGGTGATAGTGTCTGTCGTTCTGCAGCCCTCTGTCTGTTATACTGTGGTGTTTTTGGAGAGACATTACAGGAAAGCATTTTGTTTCTATTTTTGACTCTACCTGGAGCAACAACAGACCAAATATCCTGGTTTGTTGCAGCAGGAGAAGAACATAACATATTGTTTAGTCATGCTCCTTAGGCGAGTCGGCAGCTCATGTCTGGGTCAGTTTGGGTGTTAACATCTAGTTAGTGTTCAAAAGTGTGAAGACTAGTGTGAGGTGCATTGTAAGGTTACAATTGTTGCTCCAAGTTGTTTTTTTATCCTTAACATAATTAATAAGCTTTGGGTCCTACATTTAAAATGAAAAAAAAGTAATGGTGTAAATGGACCAACAAATATAAGCTATATTACAACAGTTGTCGTCTACGAAAATGTTGCAGCAAACAAAAACAAGGACAAAGTACCATATCACTCACATTTGATCAGCTCTCAGTAAAGTCCAGAATCAAAATTAAAACTCAACTACAAAGCACTAAATGGAAAGGCACCATTATACCTACAATATATTTTAATCCCCTATTGACTCTCTAGGTCTCTTGGTAACTCCCGGAAAACAGAGCTCCGGAACCAACTGTGTGCAACAAATTAAAGAGCTTGTTGAAGACTTTCTTTTTTTTTAATAAAGCCTATACTTAGAGCTGGTTTTAAATGTCCCTATGTGTGTCCTCCTTAGTCTTACACCTTATGGTATTTTATGTTATTGTTTTTACTGACTTTTTGTTGTACTTTCTCATTTGAATCTGTTTTGTGATATTGGGCAATATAAATAAACTTTGATTTGATCTGAACAGAGGTGCACTGACAAAAATAAAGAATGGTTTGACATGAATCAAGATACCAAAAAAGTGCCTTGAGAGTGTGGAGCAGATCACTGAGATGGGGGAGGTTAAGTAGACGTGACAGCTATGGAGATAGACGAGGAAATACATTTCATTATAGATGGATTTTAGAGTGCCGGGTGCAACAGAGGAGGTTCCCCTGGACAGTACCTTTTATGAAACCCTGCAGCATCTTTTGAAGTATAAACATTTTGGGTAAAATATGTTTTCTTTGCTTGCTTATTAGCTTCTAGCCCCAACACGTTGGATATGAGGCGTTATCATTTCAGAATCAAACACGTTTTTTTTATTTCTGTGAAAAAAGTCAGATAATACACGAATTATCATGCTACACTTGTATAGGAAGGAACAAATCTGTGAAGGGCAATAATTCATTATCCCCTGTATCTGATATGAAATAGCGAGCCTGTCATATATAGTGTTGAAACACAATCTAGGTCAGCTTGAAACAATGCACTTGTCAAGGGAAAACAGAGATGAGGATCCTTGTAGAAAATGCAACATAAAGTTGAAACCGTAAAGAACATTTTTCTTTCTTTTGGAGAAATGTCCATGAGTATGTGTCCAAATTAGTTTATAACAATAACTGTTTTAAATATCTGAAATTAATCAATAAGAATCCAAAAGAATTTTCAAAATTTCCATTTTGTAGAAACAGAAAGAGAAGCATAAAGCAGAAGTTTGGAAAAAATATCCTGTTACGTTAGCATGTATCGTATTTAGAAAGGAAAGGAAAGTTTACATCAATGATTTTGTGCTTTTTGAGCTACTTTCACTTATGCCCATTCGAAACCCAACCCCAAAGGTCCAACCGTAGAGAGTGAAGTGTTTGGTGAGCATTTTCCAAACAGCTGTCTGTTTCCTGTTTTAGAGAACCGGGTAACAAGTGGGTCCAGCAGAAGAGGTTTCTGGAGTGAAGTGACAACTAAATTAAGGGTACCGTTTGAGTGGATTCCCGCTTCTGAGCCTTTTTCCAGCTCGTCACACAGAGCACTTACACCACACAAAACCGCGGCTATACTGTGTATTGTTTTTCAAATCAAAAGAGTTAATGCATCATTTGTTCTTTAAAAGAGAATAGCGTTTTATGGGTTGTAATGAAATTCAAGGTCCTCATATACTGTGCAACAGGGACCACTGTGTTTTCCTACCCTATCTAATTCACTTTCCACTGCTGTGTATGATTACTGATTTATTACAGAGAGGCCATACATTCCCCAGAAACCTTCGCAAATGATAATGGAGGTATTATCTATTTCATCTTCCATTGGAGAAAAACACGCCATGGTGCAGTACATCACTGCCATAGCTGCATATTTAATTATTTTCATAGCCCTGATGCTTATTTTATCATTTAATACTACACCCAAAAGCTTTTATTTGCATCAATTGAATTGATTAAACCGTCTTGCCTCTGACTGTCAGATCCAGATACTACATATCCTTATACATTTTCTAAACAGAACACTGCACCAAATACTCCTGGAAGCATCCCTCTTTCACACTGAATCACATAATCAAACAGAAAACATAATTTATTGCAGCATTAATGAAACACTGGCAGTTAAATAGGGCCCACCTGTAAATGATGCATGCGCTGTTTCGACAAGTGTCACAATTTGCTGTGTCTTGTCCTGTTCGGTAGGTGAGCCTGTAAACAGAGAGATGAAAAGATATATGTGATCTCAAGTGACAGGCTTTAGCATTCATATTTCAACACCTTTGGGCATCAGGTATCACACATCATTTGTTCAGCTTGGTTTTTAGACAGTGTTGTTTACTCGTAACAGTCGAACGTGCAGCAGGGGCTCTGATCCTGCAGTTCTCTCAGATTTGGTTAATCAAGTGTGTAGACTTACTGATTTTACATAACAGGATTACTTAGCTTTGCCATGGCATAGTTATCAAATCTGTTCTGTGTCTATTTGCTGTGCAATAGGAAGAAAATAACAACTAAATGCTTCATGAATCATATGTAATGTGAAATCAATACCTTAACGTTCTGCGCTATGCTGTATATCTTTTTTTATATTTTCCTCCAACTTAATTTGCTTTAGACATAAAACATAAGCGATTAAAAAAAGCAATCAAAAAGACAAATTGCACCTGCTCTGTTCATGGGATAGGTACACAGACCTGAGGGGCCAGTGTCTTTACTGTATAACAGTTTTCATTTGTTCTGTTCAAAGACCTTCACAAAGGAACAACCTCAGCTATCTCACGACAGAGGTTTATTCATACATATGTCAAACGTGACGTGTTAAATACAATGCCTTTGGTGTAACACTCCTCGTCTTTCATATCGCCAGTTTTTCATTTATCCTCATTTGAATTTACCATGCAGGTCTGCATCATGTTATGTGCACTATAAGTCACTGCATGCAAAGGCAGGCGGCAGTGGTGTGGGGGGGGGATACGAGGGGCTGTGTTAGAGCCGCACATGTTCTATAATTGCTTGCTGTCACTGCAGCCCCTCACTCTGTAGGATGACATGTGGAGGTGTCACACCGCAACGATTCACCCTGACATGAGAGGTGACCTCATCGGGGGAGAGAGAACAGCGCGAGGATCGAGAACGCTGATGGGAGCTCAAGGTCAACAAGTTCATCCATCCTGCCCTATTCCCAAATGATGTCTCTGAACAGCTGTGTGCAAGGACAGTAACTCAGCGCAGTGACAGGGTCCACTGAGTGCTGCTGCTGCCGGCCGCTCATGTACAGCCTTGTAATTTAAAGAGCTTCTCTCTTATAATCAAAGGGTATTGACCTAAATTCATAATCACTGTGTGTACTCTGCACAAAAACACACTCCCATTATGGGTAAAATGCTCATGACCCAATAAAGAGCTGTATTAAAAAGCACCCATTGTCACAGAGGAAGGTTTCATAGATGCGTAAAAAATAACTGCACCTCTGAGAACGATCAAAACGGTCAGGTTTTTTTAAGCTGAACGTTTGTTGGCACAGAGTCACTATCTGTGTGGTTTGCCCATGTCAGCTGTCCTGGGATCTGTCCTGCCCTTGGCATTCCACTTTTACTGTCCACACCCCCCGCTTTTGTGTCTGCTGCTCTGCCTGCCTGAACACTGCATAGCATTTTGCATTTTTATCGATAACCTGTGAGCAAGAACTCAGCAGGCCACACTGTCTCATGTGGTATGATGTGCTTCAAACATCGGGTTTGTCATTCTACATTAAAGACATGTTATGTATATAGTATACATAGCAGACACAGCATGTCTTTCTACGATGCAGCATAATGACAAATGTTGCATTATTGCATATGAATAACAGTACTATGGCAATTGTATTCAAACAGCATGAGATACAGTGTGCATGCATCACACATGGACATATTATTGACATATGGACTGTTGTTATCATAACGAGGTCATGCCACAGAATAATAATCTTCTTTCACATAAAAAAACAACAACAACATTGAATATGGAGGGTTATACAATGCATACTCTGGTCATGTATTCTGTAACTGTATTATCCTCAATACCTAAAATCATGTGTCAGCAAACCACTTCCTGTTAGGTCTGGAAAACCTGATGAGATGATAAACAGATGACAAACATGCATTGTTCCTGTTTACAAGTCAATGGTGAGTATCTGTTTTATGCAATATTATTGTACTAAAGCAGATGTGAAACAGCTGTCGAGCAAATGCTTCATTTTGAGTTCCTGTTGTACTTTTGCAGAACATTTTCTGTTTCATTTTATTGTCTCATGCGGCACATGAGCGACAGTAAATAAAATCGGCCAAAAATGGAGAAGTGGGATATTTTGTAATAATTTGTAGTAGTTATTTCCAATGTAAACAGTAAAGTGAAGACAACATTGTGCATACACTCTTGCAGGACCTATATGCTTCTTGTCATTGCATACATTTTAAAGGATTGGCTTGAAAATCACTGTACATAACTTATTTATCCCAGGTGAGAACAGGGAGGCTTTTAGTTGGATTATTTTCAAAGTGTATCATTAAAACAGGCTATTTGACTTCCATGCAACAAAAGGACGAGTATTTGGGAATGCATTGTGTAAGGCAGGCTTTGCATACTGTAACTGCACCTCTCTAATAACACTTAAGCAACACAACACAGCAAGGCTCTATAGCAGGCTCAGTTCTGTGGAGATGAAAGGCAAAGCGTTATGAGCCAGCACTAATTGAGCCTTCACAATCAACTTCCACAGAGCCACACTGGGGTGCCTTGTACTTCACTGGATATGGTTAAGGCTTAAATACAATTTGGTTTGTGTTGCTCTGAGTTTTTCTGCGACGGAGTACTTAGCATTGATTCCAATTGCACTGCCGTAGGAGTCTGGCTGTGGGAATGGCTCGAGGACTTTATGAAGCTTGTTACTGCGTTTTCTCCTTTACAGATACGTCTTTAATGAAATATGACACATAAAGAAATAATAGAGAAAACTTGCCCTTGGGTTAAGATTACACAGGAAGACAGTATTCCTGCATTGTGCTGTTTATTTGAAATGCTACATAAAGACTTGATGGTTGATCATCCACTAGCGCCACCGACAGATCGATTTTAATAGATTTTTTCAGATTAATGCTGTCAAAATTATAGCGTTAACGGCGGTAATTAATTTTTTGAATGAATTGCGTTACAAATATTTAACACATTTAAGGCATGTGCAGAATGGCCCGCCCCATACATCCCACCAGTGGCAGCGCCAGGGTATGGCTGGGGTAGGCTACACCCATACCAAGAAATGGCTTAGCCCCACCATGAAAAATTATGTTAAAGTAAGCCAAATAAAGTCCGCCAAATAAAGTCCGCCAACTCGCGCCGAGAATTGCACAGACAGCAGTTAGTAAGATTGATTTCAGTAGCCACTTGTCTGGAAATACCAGTCTATGGGAAATACCGAAGACCAGAAACGGGTTTGAAAACTTTTGTCACGTAGTGATCGTCTTCTCAATAGAACATCTTTGATAATGTATTCTGGCCAATCAGAATCAAGATAACGGTGTGGTGTTGTTGCAGGAAGTCCCGACGGAGAATACTTTTGCTGTAGTACAGGGTTGCGTTCCGATAATCCAAAAATCAGCTCCTAAATTCTAACCCTATCTCCTATTCCTTGACCTCTGAGTGAAACGTCACGGGGTTAAGGGATAGTGGATAGGACAATTCAAAAGGATTTAGGAGAAGAGACTGCCGGGTTGCATTCCAATAGTCCATTTAGCTTAGGAACCTTCCTAACGGAATGAAATGACCCGGAAGTACGTCACTGGCAGCCATGATAAGTGCCGTTCCAATTCTCCAAATGAAAGGAAAGGAGGTTTCAAACTTCCTTTATAACCTCCTTTAGCTTAGGAACCACTGGACCTCCCTAACCGAAAGGAGAGGAGAAAATGCCGCCCCACAATGCATTGCAGCCGCAGCATTTGCCATCACAACAGTCGGCCGTTCACGGAAACAACCGATTATGACCGAGAAATGATATCATGAAAGTTACGGTGCTTATTAAGCATTTTAAAACGTATGTGGTAACTTGCCAAAGTGCTTTTTTCTGAACGTTCATCAGTATTATAATCAAAAAGAGAAATATGAACGTTAGTTTTTACTGAAATGATCAAATAAAGTCAACATCTCACAGTCTTTACTGAGCTGTGTGGGTTTGTTCAACTTTTAAAAGATGTTTGAATGGTGATATACACAGTGATAGATGTTAAGGACTAACGTTTATAATAAATACATTTGTATTGATTTTAAGATATTTTCATAGTTCATACAATCATACGTATTGGGATCATTTGTATAAATGTGGACCGGAGGGAGAGGGTGACGAGCATAAGTTTCACTTTCCTTTTTTATTTCAATTCCAACTTTGGTCATGAAGAATATGTTTCTCTGTTGTCCACGTTCATAAAGCATAAAGCAACAGCATCAGAGCACGGTGCAGAGTCTCTAGATGACTTTACAGTAGTCCCTCGTTCTTATTGAACATCCATGTTGTAGTCCGCTGTATAGAAAACTGTAGTTTCCATAGTTTCCCCACAGCAGCAGACGCACACAATGACGTCCGCTGGCGCATCATAAACACGTCGGATAGTGAAAGTGCATTCGGATTCTCTAAAGTACCGTGGTCTCTTCTCCTAAGTCCTTTTGAATTCTCCTATCCACTATCCCTTAACCCTGTGACGTTTCACTCAGAAGTCAAGGAATAGGAGATAGGGTTAGAATTTAGGAGCTGATTTTTGGATTATCGGAACGCAACCCGAATGCACTTTCACTATCCGACGTGTTTATGATGCGCCAGCGGACGTCATGAATGTGCGTCTGCTGCTGTGGGGAAACTATGGAAACTACAGTTTTCTATACAGCGGACTACAACATGGATATTTTAATAAGAAGGAGGGACTACTGTAAACTCATCTAGAGACTCTGCACCGTGCTCTGACGCTGTTGCGTTATGCTTTATGAACGGGGACAACAGAGAAACATATTCTTCATGACCAAAGTTGGAATTTAAATAAAAAAGGAAAGTGAAACGTATGCTGTCACCCTCTCCCTCCGGTCCACATTAATACAAATGATCCCAATACTTATGATTGTATGAACTATGAAAAGATCTTAAAATCAATACAAATGTATTTATTATTATAAACGTTAGTCCTTAACATCTATCACTGTGTATCACCATTCAAACATCTTTTAAAAGTTGAACAAACCCCACACAGCTCAGTAAACACTGTGAAATGTTGACTTTATTTGATCATTTTAGTAAAAACTAACGTTCATATTTCTCTTTTTGATTATAATACTGATGAACGTTCAAAACAAAGCACTTTGGCAACTTACCACATACGTTTTAAAATGCTTAATAAGCACCGTAACGTTCATGATATAATTTATCGGTCATAATCGGTTGTTTCCGTGAACGGCCGACTGTTGAGTGACGGCAAATGCTGCGGCTGCAATGCATTGTGGGGCAGCATTTTCTCTTCTCCTTTCGGTTAGGGAGGTCCAGTGGTTCTTAAGCTAAAGGAGGTTATAAAGGAAGTTTGAAACCTCCTTTCCTTTAATTTGGAGAATTGGAACGGCACTTATCATGGCTGCCAGTGACGTACTTCCGGGTAATTTCACTCCGTTAGGAAGGTTCCTAAGCTAAATGGACTATTGGAACGCAACCCAGGGGTGCACATAACTGGTACGCAGGTTATGTGCGTAATCTGAAATGCGTACCGTCACTTGTGTCACAAAGCGCATTTGCGTACCGACGTAGGCTACTTGTGAAGCTTTTCCAGAAGGCGGTTAGATCACCGGACGACAGAGTCGGTCTCCGTGTGCACAGACAGGGCTGCTGTTAACGTCGGTCTCTACAACGGAATTGTGCCAAAACTACGCCAACCGGCTGCCGAGGGAGACTCCCCCCCTTCACTGGAGAACTGCGCTAAAACAGCTGATCACAATGTTCACACGGTTCACACTCTGTGGTCACGAAGTACTCCACTAGCCGCCGCCGCCGCCCCCCCGTCGACTTTCCTGAAGTACTTCCCCGTTGATAGAAATCGTAATGAATTAAGACCCCACGGTTTGATGATTGATAGGTGTGTGGGCTGTCTTTCATTTTGACACACAGACAAATGTTATAATAAACATGTATGTTAAATGGATATATCCGCCTTCTTTCATTTATCTTTCCATTCCCACAACAATATACATAAAGAAATGGCATATTTTGGACATAGTTCGAATGGTGATTAATCATGATTAATTAATTTTTAAACTGTGATTAATCTGATTAAAATTTGTAATCGTTTGACAGCCCTAATTCAGATATATATCAACACTAACTTTAGCACATTCTTTATTATTATATTCATAGTTCCAAGAGAATAAGTTTGTGGGATCAAATGATTTTTCTATTAGCAGAATCATGAGGTGGACTTCTCTGGTTTGTTAAGAAAATATCTTAAAAATATTGAATGCACTGATGTACAGTTAGGTAAAGACACTAAGTGTTTGCAGAGGACCTTTCCTCAAGCACCATCACAAGGCCAACATATCTGTTTATTCAATTATTTGGTTTGCCTTCAAATACATACATACCCGGCATTCTCAGACCTCCTCTGTTCTTGGTTCTAAATAGCAAGTTATAGCATGCTGATATGCTAAATTTGATGGTTAACAATATACATGCTAAACATCATCATGTTACAATGGTCATTATGAGAGCATGTTATCATGTTGATGTGAGCATTTAGGTCAAAGAACCACTGTGTCCAAGACATTGATAGCCCTTCACATCACACTGTGAACCATGCATATGTGTATACAGTTTGTTTGGTTGCACTGTAAAGCTAAATCTACTCACCCTCCTCTCTGCGCTTCCCCTTTCTCCAGCTCCTGAATGACTCCTAGTAGCACCTTGATGGTCTCTTGGCTGGAGTTGATAAGGCTCTCCATCGCCTGCAGCTGCACTTTGATATCCTTGTCTTCAGATAAGGGCATTATCTGCTGGCTGCTCCGCATGCCTGGGGCTTGTGTGTCTCTTGGAGGAAAGCCCTCGTCCCCCCCAACTGTTTGCTGAAGTTTAGAGGAGGCTGATGCATGCCTGGTCCGACTATGCCCTTGTGACTGCACTGAACATTTGGCACTATGGGGAAGCGTCTGTGACTGCTGTTCGTTTAACTGTGTACCCTTTTTCCGTTTACAGCTCACAGACGGGCTTCCTAAAGACTCCACCTGTGTCAAAGAGTTCCACGCAACAGGGCCCGCGCCCCTCGACTTGTCCTGGGAAAACTCTGAGTAAGCAAGCTGGCGCTTTGAGGAAGTGCCAGCGTCCGTATCTTCTTTGGGTAATCCTTTGTGTTTGGTCCTTGTCCCACAACCCTGGTACTCTGTTTCTCTTTTTGAAGCAGGGCTACCCTGATGGCACTCTTCCGAGAAATGTGAAGAGACAGGACGAGAGGGTCCATCCAGACAGTTGGCACGCAAAAGCAAATCCTCCGTATCACTGCTGTCATCAGTGTGGTGAAGCAAAGCTTTAGTTTGCACCACAATCTTACCCTTGTACTTTGAGGAATCGCCAATGGGTTGTCCATCATCTACTACTGCCTTTATATCGCTCAAAAAACCATTATTTTGTCCTTTATAATCTTCCACCAAAGCAGTATGTTTGAATGTATGTCCTTTTTTCCTCTCGAAAGGGAAAGTCTTGTATCGCTTATTGAGGTCCGGCGAAGTCTGGACCCCAGTGCTCTTGGTCACGTTTGGAATAGAGCGTCTGCCGGGCATGGTCATATACTTTCTCTGTGTTACTTTGGAGGAAATGGATCTGGAGCGTTTTCCCCGAAACTCATTCTGGGCCTCACAGATATCCCTAAAACGAACTTGTAAAGCCTTGTTTCTCTTCTTCACCTGTGGCTTGCCTGATTCTGGTCCGGACTGTGCATCAAGGCTGTGTGAAGGGCCTGTATCTGAATCGGAGTCATCTGAGTTTGAAAGAACAATGTAGTTGGCGTCTTCTTTGCTCACCATATTTTCTGAAAGAGGTAAAAGAAAAATATAATCAGTGTTTGTGTGTCCAACCATAGTTAGTGGGGAAATCAGAGAGGATCTAATCCCCTTAGTAAGGTACTGTAAAAACATGTTTCCTCTGAGACCATACATTTAAATCCTGGTAGTAAATTATAATCCTTAAAGACACAATATCTGATACAAATACATGTTCCACGATTCAGAACACATCATTTATTAATATATATCTTGAAATGTGACAAAAGTGAAAACATTTAAAACCACTCAAGACTGAAGAAAGAAAATCAAAAAGTCAAACCTTCGAAATGTCACTACACTTTGGTTTGTTTTCTATGACTATATTAAATGCTTTTACTGGCATCCTCTGTCTTGACATATAGAAACAAAAGGACTCAATGTAACTAATCTTCAGTATAGGTTTATGATACGTCCACCCATATTTCCCGCATTTTCTGCAACACGTAACATAAGCTAAAACTCTTTAATTGGAAACCCAGCTCATTGGTTACTCCAAAACGTGCAACTGCTAGTTACAGTACGCACTATAGTTATTTATGAACAAGCATGCCTGCCAAAAATTCTGATAATTTGCTTCTGCACACCTTTTTGGAATAACAATTTTGTGTGCTCCTTGCTCGTGTTGACACCTTTCAGAAACTCTATGCGTTGACTTGTGTCAGATGTCAGCCTCATTACATGCATTGAGCTTGAAGCACGGTTTTGCTTTAACTTGGGGTGTTATGCTGTCAAGTTGCCATATCACTGATGTGTCTTATCGGGCTAAGTATTTGCCGGTTATCTTAACATATAGCAGCATATTTAATGTGAGTGCATGTCATTCAGGAGATGTTTGTATGCTTGACAATATCATTCAACTTTAGGAGTGCCAAAGCTCGCGGCTGCTGTTGCTGCTTTCTCGTAGGTGTGCTTGTGAATGCTATCTTTGAGTAGCAGGCCTTTTGTTTTTTATCTGGTATTTGTTTTACAAACGCATCGTGACTAATTTATGTTATTTATTTATATAGTGGTAGAATAGCAATACTCATGTTTCAGCTTTAAGTGATTTGTGCTCAGTTGGATTTGTGGCCTATTTCCCACTCTGCTCATATCATCTCTGGGGTTTCCTATTGTGTCACTGAAGGCTTAAGGGAGAACCGTGCACATGAGCTTCAGTGATTTAAACACACTGCAGCCCTTCCCTTGGCTTTATGAGAAACTCTTTTGTCACAAATACAGTTTATTTTCATTTTCATTTTACCCACACAGATCATATTCGGCTATACATTAGGAAACGCTCGTACTCCAACAAATGGGTTTATATGACAACTTGCTCTACTGTTCTTCATATCATAATTACATCTAAACGTCTGAGCTCCAGTTCTGTGCTCCACACTGGTACACTCAGCCCTAATCAGTCAATCTCAAGCTCCTTGTGTACTCACCCACTTAAGGTCATCTCCTTATCAATGCGACATAACATTTCACGAGATATATATTTTATGCATCCTTCTGCACTTAGATTGCTTGATAGTATGTTCCCCGCAATGGTTAAGCGTGTTTTCTTTTAAAGGAATAGCTGTGGGGCAGTTGGCTCACTATTAATAGGTGTTTGGTAAATAATATATTCCCCTTGTGGTCTAAAGTAGATGGCAGAGGAAATGACTAAACAGCAGCCCATATGTGCAGCACTTGGATCCCCCTTTAGGCTCTGAGTCTAAACTCATAGGGAGGAAATGTATTATCTTCCCTTCAAAATCGGCATTGCTTAATTAATGGCTTGAAAGGACTTGGACATATCTGTAAATGAGTTTTCACTTGAGTGTAGAAGGGTTAAAGTCTCCAAAATATATCTGCCTATACTTCTTAAGCCCATGGTTTACAATAACATATAAAACAGTTTGCTAGAAATTTCAATAATTGCTTGAAGCCATTAAACCATAGTTATTTATAGATCGGTAAATCAATACAAATTATAACTTCTTGAGCTTGAAAATGCAGCATTATGAAGAGTGAGAATCGATGTGCTTCTTTTAAAAGATGTATCTGCTTTCACCACTGTCATAGAGTACTAAGGATCTACCAATCATTACCGAGTGAATATCTCATTTAATTAGTAAGTACTTTTTCACTTAAATTCATCATTATCAACAAGATTCAATCAAGTTTTTCCAATATATTTTACATGTTTTAATGGGACAGCTTGATTTACTTTGATTATGTAATAAATAAACTGCCTTTGATCAAACCAAGAGGCCAAAAACCTCTTTGATAATGCATAATAGAGCTCGCTGCTGTAGTCACTCCCCATGCAGAGTATCAAATTAAGGTCCATATGATCAAATGAGAAATATTGCATTTTCTGTCTCATCCGTGATGAAACACATTTCTCAGCTGGAGCATGAAATATATCAAGAAGCACAAGGAAATGAAATGATGTCTGATATGGTTGAAAGGAAACATCAGGAGGAGCTGGTTAATCATTTTCATATGCCAAGACGCCACGCAATAAATAAACTCAATGAATCATTTATTACCACACAAAAGCAAGATATTCATGGTTTTGCAGCTTTTCTTAAAGTGATCATGTTTTATCATTGGGAGACATTGTAAATCCATCAATGTGATTGTTCCAGTTGGGGAATTTATACTGACGAGACATTTCCTTACTGTCAGTTTAACGACTCCCATGAAATTAGTGAAAGGAGAAGCTAGATGAGATTAATGTTAATTTTTGATCTGCAGTCGATGTACATCTGCAGTTTCGAGTTCCAGTGACGTCATAACCAAATAAATGATACACACTTTTTAAGGATTGCAAAGCTATGCTATGTGACCCTGCATCGTTTTTAGTGGTCGTGTTCATACATGCATACAGTATGAGCACTTTAATGTTTGTGTGAAAGGGTGTGTGTCATCAGAGTGTGTGCACAAACACACTCTGGTGACACACATACCATGTATACATGACTTCAGGGGACATTATATTGACTTACATGCATTTCCTGGAGACTTATCCTAACCTTAACCATAACCAACATATGCCTAACCCTAACCCTAAACCTAACCAAGTCTTCACCCTAAAATTAATGATTCCCCTTATGGGGACCTCCATTTTGTCCCCATAAGGGAGGCGAGTCCCCACACGTGACTGTGTACAGATTTAGGTCCCCACAAGTATAGTAACACACACACACACACACACACACACACACACACACACACACACAAACACACACACACACACAGCGAATGATAATAAAATGCATATGGGGTTATTCATTGGGAGTCCTGCCATGTGTTTAACCTTGCAGACGGTCCACTGTAACCTAACTCTCAGCCCAAACTGTTAATGAAATGAAAATATTTAGAGCCAACTGTGTTTCATCTCACTTCCTATTAATGCTGGGAAAAACTCATGCCAACAACAGTTTCTAGTGTCACTTCAGTCACTGCGATGGATTCAATGCCAGATGAGAAAGAAACAACAACAAGCAACTAGTTCAGTCTCATTGTGCACGGACAATATGGTGTCATGCATTTACCCACAGTTGTTTTGAAATTTGGAGCAGCTGAATTTTATTCGGGGTGGTATTTGTTCTGAAACATAGATTAGTATGCACTTTGATTTTAGCGTGAGATGTTTGTCAGAAGCATTTCCCACGGATAAAAGGGAATTTGTTTGAGGCTGATCCACATGTGATCATGCCATTTTACAGTCACATGTGGCAATCTAACACTCCTGAAAAGGTAATCACATCTGCAGGAAGTCTCCTCTAAGCCCATACAATTTCTCATGCCGTCATGTAAAGCAGCTAAATGGAAATTCACACAATGGGAATCAAGAAAAGCAAGGACTTATTACTGTTGGAAGTCAGATACACATACAGAATAACTGAGACAGTGACGCGACACATGAATATATTTGGATGGCTGAGTGAGAATCTCCTTTGCATCGTCGTTCTCCTCCTCCTCCTCTTCTCAAAGCATGCTATATCTCTGCTAATGACCTGAGGTCCTTCCCTGATTTGGCCTCAGCTATCCAAAGGATTATGAATAATGCATTGACTCTAAAATTGCAAAAGTAATCCTCTCAAATCTCCTTATGTACCCTGGCAGAGCACGTTGTCTGTTCCAATTGCCCCTTCAGTTCTTCACGCTAAAATGCTGCATGTATAGGAAAATAACACCTTTCACTACAGTATCATGATCGATTTATTATGACCAAAATGTTGTAGAAACGTGGTTGTTTGTAAATAATTTTAATAGGGGAGTTGAATCCATTTTCCATGCCATAGCAAGACTACAACACTGCTGACTCATGATTTATGCCCCATCGCATAGCAAGGAGAAAGAGGCAGCTTTGCTTGGATCGCCTTACATCCCTGACAGCCCTCATCAACGCGATAATTACAGAAGTGCATCTGTAAGATGATTTACATAGCATAACACTGTTTAGCCACTCTCATTAATGGTTACGTAATGTTATTATAGTGGCCTTAAACATGCCTCTGCTGCACAATCAATACAAACTGAGTGCATCATCAATGGTAATGATGGTCAAAGCAACAGCTCATCAATTTTGTTATACGTTCTAAAACATGTGTATCACAAGTACTTCACTCTTCATTACGATGCAGGTTGATGCTGTGCTTTATGCATCGTAGAGTACGCATTGTTACTCTGCAATGTATCCATTTTGTATGAGGATTTTTTTCTCATTATTTGCATAAATTACAGAGCGTGACATTGCACCAACTTAGCACAAAGAGATATTGCAGCCTTTATCCAATCCATAGGCTTCGCGTGCATGTGAAGACTTATTCATTCCTACTGTGCAATAGTACAGTATAGGTTCCGGCCCCTACACCCTCCGCGTTGCAGTAATCTTTTCCCAAACACATCATCACGCTCTTCTTCCAGAAACAATGTAAGCCCCTTTGTTCTCAGATTTTTATATTATCTTTTGTTCAATTTTAGAGAACAATCCAAGGCGGTTTCCACATCTCCACAGTTATACACACCATCTTATTCCAGCTGTCGTCCAGAACTTGGTGTAGCTATCTGGGCTGCCGGCTACACATGTGAAAGTTTTTCATTATGACATTGGCTTAAAAGATTTATGACTGAGCAGCACTTTCTTGTATGGGGAATAGTGGGAGGGTTTAAAAGGGTCCCATCCTTATTTTTCCTGGATGAGAGCACTAGATGTGAAATGGATCCTTGGGAAGAGTAAGTTTGGAGAGGCTGATATGCAGAAGGGCATTTCAGGTTCTTTTCTAATCACTTGCTTTGCAGTTAGTGTGGGTATCTTTCTGTTTAAACCAAACGGAGAAGAGCCACCCTGCCTGCATCATTTCAGAGGTTACATCCCTGGTGCATCACCCTGATGAGTTCATTGATTAATAAGCCGTCGGGCTACGGGCACACATGTGTACTCAGGTGGATGTGATGATTGATTCAGGTGTAGTGTAGAAGGTGATTTATAAGTGAAAAAACTGGAGATAGACAAGTGTCAGTGTATTTGTCACCTCAACGCCGTACCCTTTCAGCATTTCCTGTAAATTCAGGTAGTCAAGCAATGACATGTCGAAAATAAGGGGGACAGAGACGGAGAGAGAGAGAGGGGTGGGAGGCGAGGGCTACAAAGACTGAGAGAGAATATAAGTGCAGCTCTGTATGTGATGCAGCACCAAAGAGCTTCCTAGATCACACATGTCATTAGTCATGATAAGTCTGAATCCAGCTTTCATCAAATTCAGCCTTTAGTAGCACATCACTCATCGCATACCAATTTGTCATATAGCCTTCGCCACTTAATACTGTGGGTGTTTTCTAATGAATGATCATCACTCCCTCAGCCTTTTAAAGCACAACATGTGATAGTCTATTAGTGAGCATTCATCAATATTCTTCACCATAAAGCTCAGAGAACACACAAGTACAGAAATCTCGATAACCAGCCTCTGCATCGTCAGATTAACACTGCATGTCTGTCAGATGCTGCAAAGACACACGTTATAATAAGTACATAAATCAAATTACATCACCATTCATCCCCATTTTCAATTGTGGAGAAAAACCTTGACGTGCTCTCCTGATTAGTCATTAAACCTTTCAATGCTTGGATGCAGAAATGCCCCCTCCCTAGGGGATCATACACATGCATGCATCACTAACCAAAAGTCATAAATCATACATGCTTTGGATATCAACTTTAATTTAGATATGATTTTTTTAAAAAGCAGACCAGATGAATCCCCGACTCTTTTCTTTGCAGTACCTGTGAATATGTGTGCAACTCCAACAAAAAAAGAGGAAACTCTTACCTTGAGAAACAGATCAGAGGTGCAAAGGACAAGAAGGCGCAGATCCCCTGTAGAGCCAGTGTTCATCCATGTATTCAGAGGGTGCCAGGGTGCCGTCCAGCCACTGGAGCAGCTTTCAAAGGCTGCGGGAGGACACAGAGAGAGGCAGCCGGCGCAGAGACAGCTGGAGGAGTTGTGGCACATCCGGCAAAAGATTCAGGTTATCAGGATGAGAAAAGGAAAAAGCAGAAAAGACATAGCCTCAAAAACCTCATTTAGTCCTCACTGATATCCCCCTTTCTGCCTTTTACTCTACTCTCCTTTTTTACACCTCATTCAAGCACCACTGACACTCATTCCCTCTTGTCTCTGCACTCACCGAGAATAGGCACTCACACACGCAGCGGAGATCTCCATCTCGCTGTGCTGCTGCTGTTGCTGCAATCCCTGTGCATTCGTGATTGAGTGTATGTGTGTATGTGTGTGTTAGAAAGACAGGGAGAGGGTGGGCTGGTGGGTGGATGGGTGGGTGGATATGGCAAGGGGAGGAAGGAGGAGGAGGAGGTGGAGGAGGAGGAGGAGAAGGAGGAAAAGGAGGAGGAAAAGGAGGAGGAGGAAAAGGAGGAGGAGGAAAAGGAGGAGGAGTGAGGGGTAGTGTGCTATGCGAGCTGCTGGGGAAAGTCCAGAGTCGTTGAGCTGCATCATCGGCGAAGACCCCTTAACTTGTCCTCCACAGACTAGCTCCGGTGACACTGAGCTGTTATATAATCTGAAGGGCTTCGGGAGGCTGCAGAGAGGGGGGGGCTCTGAAATAATAATGCATTGTGCTTTTAATTGGATGTCGTCGTCCCCCCCCCCCCCCCCCCCCCCCCCCCCTCACTTTCATACATCCGACACATTGTGTATGAGAGGTGGCAAAGGGGGCTAAATCGAGCAAAGGAAAGGAGAAGTTGGGAACAGACGAGGCGAGGAGCCAACAGGGCGGCGGTGTTAATGAGAAACTGAGACGAGAGAGAAAATGAAATGACGAGGAGCAGTAATAGAGACAGTGAGACAGAGAAAGAAATGTACCTCATTGGAAAATGGACAATATTGATTTAGCAGACTTCTTCCTCTTATGAGTTCAAGGCTTAGCCCATTGGTGTATAAAGTCTGATTATTAAAGCATACCTGTAGGCCTACTGTCTAATGCAATCCAAAACATACTGTGTGAGGCGTGTGGTGCAGTGGGTTGTGAGTTGGTATTCGGATCAGGAGGTCACAGGTTCAAACCCCACTGCAGTCAGCATGTCGTTGTGTCCCTGGGCAAGACACTTCACCCCAAATTGCTCCTGTGGGGATTGTCCACAGTATTGAGTATGTAAGTCGCTTTGGATAAAACCGTCTAACAAGTGACATGTAATGTAATGCTGGCTTTATTTAGTCAATGGGAACAACATGATACAAGTAACAAAGATGACTCTTTAAAGAAATATAAACTATATATTGTGCGCACACAATGTTTATTGGAATAAAGTCTAACTTGTCTTGTCCATGATTCAAACAAGTTTTTATCATGCAAGAATAAGGTCATGAAGCGACGTTTGGGTCTATGTGTTTGCAAAGCTAACATTACGGAGTTAAAACCGAATTTTTTTGCAGTCATTTATCTGTTTCCATTGGTTTTCAGTTCTGCAGTTTGCTTTAAAAAGGCTCTTGCGACTAGGATTTATATCTCTGTGCCTTAAAAGGGCAGTATACAAAACGACAGGCCAACACTAAACAAAGAGTGTGTCCCCTCATGTTGTTTCTATTTAATTGTATTTCCTTCCCTCAGGCCATCCAGCTAAAGTCACTGGGGCTTTTACTTCTTTATCACGCAATGTATAGTTCATCTACCATTCATTTATAGGATATATGTACTGGTTATATTGTTTACATTTTTCTGAGACTAACTCATGCTCATACTGTTTTATTGTTTACAGTTTTATCATCTGAAACCCTAACAAAATGTATTTTATTGTATCCTAATAAATTGTAGGCACACAATAATTGTACGTGTGTATGATTGGGACAAATAAACGTGATTTGATTGGATTTGTGTACAGTACTCAAACTATAAACCTCACAGGTTGAAAAGCTAAAGAAAACTAAGAGTGCTGGCAGTAAATTCAGTGATTTAATCCATTTAATTACGTGGGGAGACATACAGAGTTTCATTGTTTGACTCTCTGCTTCATAAGATTGCCCCAAGAGATGTTTGTTCTAGTCTTGCCAATGTAACTTTCACACTGATCCAAGTTTAGTTATTTACTGCAGAACGAATACCACAAAGGCTCTAAAGTTGTATATTTCAAAGCACTGTTTGTTTTGTATTTATCTTTGATTACTGTAGGTTAGATATGTCATAAAATGGATCAAAGTTTAACCATTCATTTCCTATACGAGCAACCTGTTTCTGTGGAGGAGAAACAGTGTTTTTCTCAGTGATCTGCTGACTGCTGTCGTATTGATTTAATTGTCTGTTTTCCTCCCAGCTCTGCCTGCTCATAGACCTATGACAACAATTTGACTGTGTGCCCACTGCTTGAATGCAGATCCAACCCACCACAAACCACAGACCCCCCCCAGTCTCAACACCAGCTTAATCTCACTGTGCTTAATGAGTGGAACAACACAGAGCTGACAACCAGGGAACCCCCTCCACCCCTCCACCACTTTCCTTAATCTCTTCTCTACTACATCGTTTATTGACCTGCCAGAGGCTGTGGGGGGAGTGTCCAGATTTATGCAAAGAAGCCTGCATTGCTTTCCGATGACTGTCAGCTTAACCATTCATTATAGTTGGATCCCTGAGGACAGATTGTACATGCAGAGACTTTAAAGGGGTTGCAGGGAAATGTGTACATCAATGAAAGTAAAAAAGAAGAAGTGTGAAACAGCTGATATTTCATAAGAGAATAAAGGAGAATGTTCAGGTGCAGAAACAAACACTATTCTATTTGTTCCCCCCGATTGATTTCCCTATCTCTGTCAAGTCTCACAGGTGAAGGAGAGTTTGCAGTGTCAAATGCTTCCTTCAGATCCACAGAGCATCCCTGTGCGAAACAGAAAGGTTTCATTAGAATATGAAAATACAAAAGCAGTAAACATAAACTTTGATCTTTTATCTAAATTATTCATGAGTATTTTCCTACTGTATGCAGCAAACACATGGGGATCAGAACAAGTATGATCACTGCGTATATCCACAAACATGCATAAACAGGGACTTCCTCACTATGAGAGGATGCTTCACACCTCCTGATGGAACGGGCTCAATGAAAATGTTTGCTGAATGATAATTGGAGCATTGGAGACACCAACACTAAGGTAACACCAACGAAGTATTGAGCACAATGATCACAGCTGAGGAAGTCACAAAAGGATAGTTGCTGTTCTTAGGGCAACTGTGGCTGCGAGGGAGTGCGGTCGTCTTTCAACCAGAAGGTTGTGGGTTAGATCCCAGCCCATGCAGTCAACATGTCGATGTATCCTTGGGCAAGATACTTAACCCTGAGTTGCTCCTGATGGCATGGTCAACGGTGTGTGAATGTGTATGCATGTTAGTGCATGTCCTAACATACACTGCTCTGTATGAATGGGTGTGAATGGGTGAACGACATGTAGTATGTAAAGCGCTTTGAGGGGTCTTAAAGACTGGATAAAGCGCTATATAAGTACAGTCCATTTACCATTTATCTTAGTCTTGCAAGTGGAAAAGCAAAAACATTGCTCGGTCCACTTATTTGGTGCAGACATTGCCATGAAGCTTTCTTCTAACATTTCCAAAGCATGAACCTAAATTCTTCTTGCACCACCAATAGGTCAATTCCCATATTCCGGATGGATCGGCACAAATGTTGTACAGATACTGTATACATTGGGAGTAATGGACTTTGTAATTTCCAGACAGATTCAAGAGGCTTTCTTTCTACTGGGTTATTTGAATCTTTTGTTCTCCAAATCCAATGTGGAAACAGGAACATTCAGACAAACTAACAATACCTTGTTGGCTGCATGCCTTGAAAAGAGGGAAGTCTTCTTGTTTTCGTATAACTATATTAAAAAGGGGCCATGTTATGCTCATTTTCAGGTTCATATTTGTATTGTGTTTAAATACTTTAATGTCCGAAAAGTGCTTTATTTTTGCTGCAGCACTTCTTTTTACCTTCTTTTCTAAAACCAGAAGCAGTTTTTGTGTCAGAAAACATGCAACCATGCCAAAATAAGATGGTGATAATGGTCAACAACCTACAGAACATCACATTTGTAAGTCATTGTGGGCATGTTAGAGGGCTGGGGCTAGGATTTAACCAAAGCACAACTTTGTCTAAGTACAGCTTGCTAGCATCCATCTCTACTTGGAGTAATCATATTATTTGTGAATTTACAACAAATGCAGTAATGGGGATACACACACAAACACACACTCACACACATACTGTGTGCCTTGTGGTACACAGATGGTGGACATTCTCAAAATTGCCCTCCTGTTAAATGATATTGTCCTGGTTGGGGAGATAACACTTCTTATGCATTGAAACTGCTATATTTTAAGTGCCTTTATACAAAAACAGCCACTGGTTTTATAACAACAAATAGCATTAAAAACAACATCATTAATCACTATTAATGTCTTTGGAAAATTGGCTTAACTATCTGTAAAAACTCCCACAGAGAAGCCAACGCTAATGCTGCTTAACTCATTTCCATTATACAACACAGGCACGTAAACTCAAAATAAATAATCAATGTAATATAGAATTGTTACACAACCCTTTGTTTCCCTGTTGGCTGCAGATGATTACTGAGTAACTATTATGGAGTATAAAAACAATGAGAAATCAGTTTTTATATAATAGTGTTTTGTAGTGTAATATCTTAGCGTCCCTCTCATCCATAACAGTGACACAACTCTATTAGAATACAATCCAATTTAAATTATATATGCTCATCTAAATCAATTTGATCAACATGTTTTATCCCTGCGTCTCTGACCCTCAGTCACGCTTTGCTTTTGCCTATTTCATTGAGAAAGTACATGTCTCTTATGTGGCCTACTCTTGTTTGAGGACTTCTCCGAGTAATTGGTTGTCTGTGAATGTATTTGCATATGCACTGTGTTCCCAGCCCTCCTGAGACAACATTCAAACACAGCTAATCTGGCTTTGGAGACTTAGAGCAGCATGCTGTTCTTTGGATCAACAAACGACTCAAAAGTAGTGAGGAACCAATCTGTTCAACATGTTTTCTGTCAATATCCCTTTTAAGTTAAGATAATGCTTGAACTAATGAGTCTCAGAGAGTTAAATGTTTGCACACTATAACTATACGTTGACTAGCATATAACACCATTTTTTTTTTCTTTTTAAGGTCACTTTTTAGAAAGATAATTTTAATAACAATTAATCAGTGGATTTTGCATAGCTGAGACTAACGAGAAATGT